ATCTATCCTCTTCTGGGCCAGCCAAGAATCTCTAAGGTTTATCCCTGCCCAACTGAATGCAAAGTCCACCCACTGAATCAAGGTTTAACTTCGTGGTCGGTCTCGGAGTGACAGTGTGAACAAACCTCCCACAACAATCCGCTATACCTGTACAGTGTGATAAGCAAGTCTCCCACAATCCGCTACCCCTGTACAGTATCTGTGATGAGCAAATCTCCCACAACAATCCATCTGCTATCCTGTACAGTGTCTGTGATGGGCCACAGGACCAGCACACACAAGCTGGAGAACATTGAGCTCCTTTTTTGTCCCGGGGTGGAAAATACAAAGCTAAAGAAAACTCACTCCTGTCTAGAGAAATTTATTTTCTTATCAGAACCATTCTATGGAGAGTAGAGGAAGCCCTGAATGAAGTCCTAAGTGAATGTGCGTTGCTGACATGGACATAACTATGTCAAGGACCCGGAGGTGGGTAGCACAGTCTTTCTCTGGAGTCCAGGTGTTGACAGTACGTGCAGAAAATGTCCGCCATAGCTTTCTGCCCTGGATATTATCACCTGAAAACCGCTCCCATCAAAATTAGCTAAGCCTGTCTCCTTTCCCAGCTATGGCCCATAGACACCCCCCCCCCCCCCCCCGCTCAACTGTATGCAATAACAGCTCTTGCCTCTGCTCTCAACTCTATACAGTAAACGGAGCTTCCGGGCTGCTGCGGTTCTTTTCCAGTCGAGACCCAAGTCCACGTGGTCCCAGATTTTCTGCATGTTTGCCTTTTCTTTACTTCATTGTCACCGCAGTCAGGTCCAAGTCCCCTGACACCATGCCTTTCTGGGAAGAGAGTCAGGTACATGCATCTGTGTGCTGTCTGCAGCTCAGTGTAAATGTGTGGGAGCATCTTACAGTACCCAGTGGATGCTGAAAGCTGGCACATTTGAGACCGTTCTAGGTGTGAGCTCTGACTCAAGACCTGAGTAGACCAGGCTGACCCGCTGTGTTCCGGGGACACAGCTCACATATCTGTCTCACTCATGTGACCAGAAATTCTTCTGAAGGGCTGAGGTTTCCAACATTGATCCTATATTCATTCTTCTGAAGGGCTGAGGTTTCTGACATTGATCCTATATTCATTCATCTGAAGGGCTGAGGTTTCTGATATTGATCCTATATTCATTCATCTGAAGGGCTGAGGTTTCTGATATTGATCCTATATTCATCTAACACATTTAATGAACATGTTTATTCCGAGGAAGTAGATGCCGGCCCTCCAGTGCATGGGGAGATCCTTCAAATATGCTCCCAATGGAATGCACAAAAAAATCTCTATCTGGAGTCTTCCTGTCCACACAGTGTTTCATCATAATTTAAAAGATCAAGTGTCCCAAGGAAAAAAGAAGACCAAAAAGTTTTTTTTTTGTTTTTTTGTTTTTTTTTTTTGGTTTTTCGAGTCAGGGTATGTTTCTCTGTATTGTTTTGGAACCTGTCCTGGAACTCGCTCTGTAGACCAGGCTGGCCCCGAACTCACAGAGATCTACTTGCCTCTGCCTCCCGAGTGCTGGGATTAAAGGCATGCACCACCAACACCCAGCCTTTTTCTTTTTTTTTTTTTTTAAACAAGGTTTCTCTATGTAGTTCTGACTGTCCTGGAACTTACTCTGTAGACCACACAGGCCTCAACCTATGTCTGCCTTGTGGGCACTGGGAATAAAGGTGTGCACTGTCATGCACAGCTTAAGTCATAGATTTTAATATTGGAAACAAAAACACAGAAATTCTCCATAGATTATAATCCAGGGAAAAACCAAAAAGGAGGGAGGGTGATGGGGAAGTCCTGTGTATATGTCAATAAAGCACTGTTGGCCAATAGGGAAGCAAGATAGGTGGGACTAGGAGTCAAGGAGGACTCTGGGTAAGAGAAACACAGGGAGTCCACCATGTAGCCCGCCAGAGAAGTAAAAGTCTGGAACTTTTCTCCAGTAAGAGAAATACTTAGATTAACAATTAAGTCAGAGCTAGCCAGTAAGAAACAAGCAAGGCCAACAGCTTCACAATTAATACAGCGTCTTGTGTATTATTTGGGGACTACAACGCGGCAGAGCCCAGGCGACTGGTGGGGAAAAACCAAAGCGGCTGGCTAGGAAAAGGCTTCTCTCTACAGGAGGGGAAAGGGAAGGAGTCAGAGGGGGTAGAGGAAGGAATGGAGGAGGGTAACAGAAGGAGACAGGGAGGAAGGAGGGGAGAATGAGGGGCGTAGAGGGAGGGGGGAAAATCTTGAATACTCGTGTCAACTGCAGTGCCCGGCACAGATATGCTCAACCAAATGCATTCACCTACTACATGAACTTAAAGAGACACTGTCCCATTAATTAACTGGCAAAAGACTTGTCCAACCAACCAGCTTCCCTCAGAAACTCCTTTCCTCTGGCAGCACTATTTTTCTGTCCTCTCTGTAACTACCTCAAATGTTGCTTGGCACGTGTGCTTAGGGACTGGGACATGGTGTCAACCCAAGAGTTAGTTGCCATTTTTATGGAAGCTGCATACAGTTCCTGTATCCACCGACACAGGCACCAACATTGCAGTGAGCATTCCTATTTCTCTACACTCTAGCCAGCACCTAATGTTACTAGCCTTTTGAATTTTGAAGTTTATAGAAGTGAAATAAAATAATGTATAATCACCTAAACTGCTGATTAGTAATGGAGTTATAAATGAATTGTTACCCTCAGCTTTTTCTTTCATGTATTATTGCTGGGCCTATTGCACATTCTGGATATCTGGATATCATAGACCAGGTTTCCAGAAGCAATCCCTGACACAGGAATGTAGCATCATTCGGAAAGTTTTTCCTGATCATAATCAAGGAAGTGGATGGTGGGTTTAGCTATGGGATGTCTCCTGAAAGCTCCCGTGCTTAGGGCTTGTTCTCTGGCTGGGGGGTATCATTGCACTAACCTCATCAATCCACTGATGAGTTCACTGTTGGGCAGTAGGGCCTAGATGGACAGTCACTGGGAGCATGTCTTTGAAGGGTGTAGCTTATCCCTGAAACCCCTCTCTCTCTCTCTCTCCTTCCTGGTCACCAGAGGGTAAACACACTTCTTGACTATGTCTTTCTCCCATGATGTTTCAGACTTGGCAGGAGCTGACAGGCAACGAAGCCAGCCAAACCATGGAATAAAACTTCTGAAGTCATGAGCATGAGTCAGACTAAACTTTTCCTGCATTCTCTACTCTAAATCGATCTGCTGGTATTGTCACAGCAATGAACAGTTAATACAGCAGATAAGGAAGACCGGGAAGACAGTAGGAAACCGGGAAAGGGAGGTGTGGTGTTCTGAAGGTGTCCCATAATCTAGGGCATTTGAACACCTGACCCCCACTGATGGTGAAGTTTGTGAGCCCTCAGCTTCCTGCTCCTGCCAGCATGTCTGCAGCTGGCTGCTGCCACACCCTCTGGCTAAGACAGATTCATGCCTCTGGAACTGTAAGCCCCAACAAACCCATTCTTCTCTAAGTTACACTGGCCATGCTGTTTTAACACAGCAATAGAAAAGTAAACTAACATAGAAAGAAACAAAGTCAGAGCATTCTCTCAGGCCGAGGCCCACAGGAGGGGCTCTGCTGGAACCCCAGGGAACTCTGCCTAGGAGTCAGTCATAAGTGATGTTAGTGCTAAGGGCATTTCTAGATCTCTGCTTGCGAGGGGTCTAATGGAGGGTAAGATAGGATTTGGGGTGAGCTGGGAAACTGACGGATGCACTAAAGAAACACTACGTATCTTGGTGTCAGCATTAGTACAAGAAATGCTCTGCATTGAGTAAAACACTCAGTATCTATCACATCTGCAAAGATTTAAGAGGTGCACGCTGTCAAACTCTAGACTAGCTATGTCGACAAGGGTTTTTGCACACATGCTGTAGGGCATATAAACTGGCAGTCAATTTTAGGAAAAACGATTGGTAGATGTGTCAAATTTAAAGCCACAACATTTTGAAGCAGAAGTCCATCCCAGGAACTTCCTTCTAGCCACAAGCTGACCGTTCACCGTAGCATAGAAAACAATGAGGGACACCCATCCAATATATATTAGTTACAGTTTAAAACAACAAAATACGGTACTATGTACTGGCATGGAGACACTGGCTGTCTGCTTTAATGTGTGAATTAATCTGCAACAATGTGTAGCTGCTGGAAAGGAACTGACTGCTACTATACAGATGACATCTGATGACACTCTACAGTGCTCTGTCACGTGTCAGCATGTAGTGAATGCTCAAAAAAATCAACAGTGTCAAGGGAGTGCCAAGCAGCGCATACGATTGTTTCCTGTTTAAAACAACCTAAACTGTACCATAGGGGAAAACAAAACTCTCTTTTAAAACAGGACGTCAACTTCAGTCCTCCGGTACAGCACAGAAAAACCATGGAGAAACACAGCTCTAAGGCTGCTTAACACTGGTACTAAGAGGTTCCCGGGGTGGTGACAAGCTAGCTGGGTTAGCTCCCAGTACTACAAGCAGGTAGGTGGGGGAATCCACAGTACCCACGAGATAACAATAAGAGTCCAGATTCAGAACCGACGACATTGTGTTGCATTGTTTACTTACAACGATGGAAAAAGGCACACCCTGTTCTAACAACATGACTTTGATGAAAGTACCGGAAGGCCGGTAAGGGTTTGTTTGTTGTCCGTGCTTGTTTATTATTTTATCTTATTTTGAGACAGGGTTCTCTAGCTGTGGAACTCGCTCTGTAGACCAGGCTGGCCTTGAACTCACAGAGATCTGTCTTCCACTGCCCTCGCCCCCCAGTGCTGGGATTAAAGTGTGCACCACCACTGTTCCTGTTTGTTTTCTAAGTCTTAGTGGGTGTATCAAATGAAACAGAATCTGTCTTCTTGTCTTTCTCATGGTCTGCCAGGGGCTGTAGAAGCCTCTCCAGTTACACCCAAAGCCGTCAGTAAGTGACCACACCACACGAGAGAGACAAAGGCCCAAGGGGAAGTTCAATCGTGTATTTATTTTTTTTATACAGAATGGAGAATTAAAACCTGTAACCAAACTCCAGGTAAAATGGTTTGATTTGATGGATTTGACCGTATATTTCCTGTATGCAGAACATACTGGATTAGAAATCAACAACACAGGTCTCATTTGATAAAATGTAGGTGTTTAAAAAATTAAGTTAAAGTATTAGCATGTGTATAATAGTGTCAGGGAAATGGTCTCTGTCAATCACCCATTTTCCCAATTAAATTAATCTATAGTTTCCTTTTTTTTGGAATGGCTTTTTTTTTTCATTTTCTTCCCAAAAGTTGTCCTTTCTCGTAAGTTGCTTCTAGTTACATGGTAAGAACGTAGCACTCAGTGATACGCCCATCACTTCAAGTCACCTTCTGCAAGTTCCTTTCTGCTGAGCAGTACCCAGAAGGCTATGGCTTGTTCTGTTTTTATGCTTCTCACACACTGGGAAATCATTGAAAGAAACACATCATACATTCTAGATACTACAGTGAGACACTGCCCAAGAGATCACCCAATGTTAACAAGATGACACAAAGTTTTCACTGTGTAAATGTTTCGATAAGGTGTATTTTCTTGGGGAGGAAAAACTTTTTTTTTAAAGTTGCCTATTCTATGACAAAATTTGGAGATGATATGGTAAATGTTATTGATTTAGGACTAAGAAGACTAGTCAACAGTTGTCTTATTGTACGAGATACTATATGAGTAGCACCTTACTATGAATTCTTAGAGAGTATTAATACTTACAGTAATACTATAATAGAACCACTGAGAAATTGCTCTAGGGCTGGCATGTAGCTCCAGGGGAGAGCATCTGCCTAACTAACACACGTGAAGTCTTGGGTTCAATCAGAACTAGACAAAAAAGGTCTGATTCTGATGTCTAGCTTTAGCTCTCTTTTAACAAAAGCCACATTTTATGGCCTTAAAGACAAGAGAAATTACATCTGGCTTTATCTATTAGTAAACAGTCAGGGGCCATATTTTATTCTAGAAAAATACAATATTCATTAAAAAGATCTAAACTAATTTACTAAAAAATTATCCTAATATTTCATAATGCCACAAGCTTATTAGAAAATTGCTTCTAAAACCTGGTAAAATAAATCATCAATGATTTAACTACTTAAAAAAAAGGAGTATCTTTTTTTTTTACATTTAATAAACTGAAATGCATGTATAAAAATATTTTTAAATACAGTAACACTGCTGAGTTTTGTTAGGTCCCTTGTGTTTTGGTTTGTTTTTGATTTTCCTCAGAAAGAATGTGCAACTCTTTTTGCAATTTTTGCTAACAAAAGAGAAAACGAAAGAGTGCTCCCTTTCAACCTAGTAGCAATGTAAATCCCCGCTCGCCTCTGGGTGCTCAGAGGAAGCAAGGAATTAACTGGACATTAATTGGGTTCTTTCAGGAAAAGAGAAACCACTTAAGAGAGCTGCAAGCAACAGTGGCCCACGTTCTTGTCGGTTGACACTTCCAACAAGTACATAGGCAGAGCTCCAGAGAGCCTCAGCCCTGTCCCTCCCTCCTCCTCCTCCCCACCCCAGTAAAGTGCACCCAACCCAACCCTCTTCTCTCGGGCAGCAGGGTCTTTCGGTACGAAGGCCGTGAGAGAAAATTGTTGCTTTGTTCTTTGGGGCACTTCTCGCCCATCTGCTTGCCTCACTTTTGAGGGGTTCTGACATGTCTGGTTCATTTCCCATCGACTGGCCTGTACGCCACGTTCCACAGCATCGTCTCTGACCTTCCACTTGCCTCTTCCCACCAAGACCAAATGTACTCTGTGCATTTATATTCCAATGGACCAAAGGGGATCTCATTGAAGATCCTCAACCAAAAAAAGCCCTCACCCTGCTGGAAACTGAAACTTTCCTCCCAGATTCTTGATGTCTTTCAAAATAAAAAATAAAAAAGAGATTAAATTCATAGATTATAAATAATGTCAGTTCACTATAATAAACAGCTAAGGACTTCATTGCTAGTGCAGACAGGCTGCCTGCTAAATGAGCATGCTGCTCTCAGTCCTTAAGAGCTAACAAAAAACAGTTGCTTACATAAGAGGTACTGAGTACATGCCTTTTGTACCCAACTTAGCGAAAGGACTAGGATAACATACTTAGCAATCAATTTTACTCAGCTCAGAAGCACAGATCTATACGATATTCCGTGACGGGGCCTTTCTGTATTTGTAGTCAGGAGATCTGCCACGCTCTTCAAACAGTTCTATAGACAGAATTACTTTAAGCACTTGGAATCTCGAAAGCAGACCAGATAATACCTCAGAATATAAAATGCAACAGTTAATTTGCGTGTCATCGGGATGAGATGTCTGTTGGCCTCATGGTTTCAGAACAAGTCAAAAGATAAAAATATACATATTTGCCACTGATTTATCAAAAACATTTGGCTGCCCATTGTCATAAGCCACAAAATTACAGTGTTTCATAAAACAGACATCAAATTCTAAGCTGTGTTTTGCAAAAACACAAGTTGCAATTAAAAATAGTTTTGTTTCCTAACTGTTCATATTAGTACCAAGCTGGTCTCTTTCACACCATCTGTCATGCAAGACCTGTTACAAACGCGGCAGTGACCCTTCTGCATGCAGAGCTGAGTGAGCTGCTGGGTGTTCTGCAGTAAGATGACGAAGAGTGGTAACATTAGGACTCCACGCCCTTGTAAATACAGAGCGAGAACAGACATCAGAGCCAGCATGGATTCCAAACCACACTGCGTTCCGCGCAGCAGAAATTTACTATCTATACAATGATTTGTTTTTTTTTTAAAGATCAAGTTAAATAAGTTTTAAAGCATTTGTTACTATGGTTACCAGTACAGTTTTTGAAACTGTAAATCAGGTCTTTGTGCACATTTCCTGGACCGAGCTGCCTGTCAGAATTCACTGCCTGTGGTCAGCTTTTATGGCTTAGAATCAATTGGTATACGAATTTCAGCTAATTCCTACAAAGCTCAGCCATAGGGTAGCAGGGATTTTTTTCTTTTAAAGAAGTTATTTCTGCATAATCAATTCTGCATTATCTGTCACAGAAATGCAGGCTTGCAGAAAATGGAAAGAGAGTATTTATTTACGTGTAACTTAATGTTCTTATGAATCAAAACCAGGCAATGATTAGCTGGCCGCGTGGACAAGGAGGAGTGTGAGTACGGAGGCCCACGCTTCCCTCGTCTCTTGTTCCGCGGGCCCAGGAAATGTCATGGCTGCATCATGGTACGATGATAGTGATTACAGCCAGGTGAGAAAGGGCTCGCTTTTGTTCAGAGCAGACTCTACATCATTGAAGAGAGGGATCAGGTCTTCAGACTCCAAAGTCCCTAGGTCAACGTTGGTTCCCGGAAGGCAGTCGAGGAAATCAGGGAAGCGGGTCTGCTGGGGATTGACGGCCATGGGGGTCTGACCAGCGTTTTCCCCTGTAACAGAATGAAGGGTAGCTGTTACGTCCTTCTTGCAAGTTTACTTCCTTCTTAATTTTTTTTTGATTTAATCTTCTTTTGTTGGTTTATTTGTTTATTTATTTTGGTGACAGGGTCTCACTCTGCAGCTCTGGCTGTCCTGGAACGCACTATGCAGACCAGGCTGGCCTCAAACTCACAGAGACCCGCCTGCCTCTGTCTCCTAGGTGCTGGGATTAAAGGCGTGCGCTGCTATGCCCAGCTAAGTTTTATTTTATATGGGTATTCTGCCTGCATGTTTCGCCTATGCAACAGGTGTATGCCCAGTGGGGTAGAGGGTGAGTATACCCGTGGAAGCGGAGAGACAAGACAGTGGGGAGTCATCGTGTAGGTAGCGGGAATTCAGCTTATGTCCTCTGGGAGAGCAGCCCGTGCTCTTAACCGCTGAGCCACGTCTCCAGCCTTTCCTTCTAAAAGTTATTGAGAAGGGGACACAGACTTGCAGACCTAACATAACTCACACTTTCCATGTCCACCGACACCACATTAGTGACCTCATCCTGTTTTCAGAAAATGTTCATCCCAGTAAGACTAGAGATCTACAGGACATGGTTGAGGAAACTTCTAGAAAGGTAAGCATCTGGAATTTGACTGAGATAATGTTCTTCCGGTAACAGTGTTATGGGAGGAAATACATGATACCTGATACCATCTGACTGTTCCTTTTACTCTGTGACCTTAGGGACACTAACTTGTCTCATTCTCTTTTTACCACCTGGAAATGGGGACCACAGGGCCTTCTGCACAGGCTGGAATAAAATTACAGAGTGTCTGTCACATCCAGGGCTGTGTCGTCCATCTGCTAAGGTTATCACTACGGGTGCTGGAGAGATGACTTGGCGGTTAAGAGCACTGGCTGCTCTTTCAGAAGTTCTGAGTTCAATTCCCAGCACCCACAAACACCTGTAAAACAACTTCAGAAAATCTGACGCCCTCTGGCCTCCAGATACCTGCACACATGTGGTACACATAAACTCACACGGGCGCACACACACATGCACAAAATTTAACAGTTCAAAATTGCACTATGATCTGCTAACTCTTGAGAATATGTATTTTAGCCAAACAAACTCTTTTTTTAAAGAATTCTTCTGGGCTGGAGAGATGGCTCAGCCGTTAAAAGCTAGGCTCACAACCAAAAATATAAGAGATCTTCCTATTCTTTCTCACAGAAATGAAAGCATGCGTTGACGAGACAATCTTCTTCATCAAGGTTAACAATCTCAGAGTATTTCTTATGGCTCTACAATGCAACTGAGGTCTTTTTAAATCTTTGTTGTTTTAGTTACTTAAGTTCATCACTTAAGCTACTTAAGACACACTCACACCCCAAAAAAGGGCAGGTCTTCCAGAGGCATGACTTTCATGGAACATTCTGGAAGGGTGAATGACTGCCCAGTCTTTACTTATTATGTTACTATTCCTTTGTTCCATCTTCTCACAAGTCCAGCCAGGTGTGCTTGTTGCAAAGGGAGAGGGTTCTCAGCCAACCTGCTCCCGGGCAAGTGATCAATGTGACTGGCAGATCCAACAGTCTTTTCTGGTCAGCACTGAGCTCCACCTGCCCTCAGCGAACTACCAAGTATTACTAAATACTATACAACTCTCTTTAGCAGTCTACGCCCATTTCTTACAAACATCTCACAGAGGTGACACCGAACACAGTGAGCTAACACTCGTTTGACCAGATTAATAGGAGCCACAGTGTTTATCAAATCCATTTCAATGCCCTTCTTCAATGGAGAGGCAGAGGTAGGGACATTATTCTCATTTCACTGGTGAGAAGCTGAGGCCCACAGAGCTTCCATGGAGAACAATGTTTACCACGGAGCGAGGAACAAAGATTCAACTCAGGCTGAATTTTGCCTGTGTTCTTTTCAAGATACCATTTAATTGTGTACTATGGCTTCAAAAACACTCCCCATTTACCCACTGGACATTATTTTAGAAACCTATCGGAGAGAATGAATCTTTTTAATGTTTCCTGAGGTACCCATCCCTCTTGTCTTATTTAATTTTGCTTTTTACCCTTACTGGATTCCCAGAATTTGAAAGATGTGGGAAACAGCATCAAGGACTCACCTCATGATGCTATTTCAAGGAAGCAAAATAAATCACTCTCTCTCTCTCTCTCTCTCTCTCTCTCTCTCTCTCTCTCTCTCACACACACACACACACACACACACACACACTCATGTGGAGTTACAGGCAGTTGTGACCTGCTATGTGGGTGCTGGGAATTGAACTCTGGTCCTCTGGAAGAGCAGCTGGTGCTGTAACTACTGAGCCATCTCTCTAGCCCTGCAGGTCTCAAACATGAACTTAGCAGATGACAATGCCATGTCCCAGCGTCAGGAGTTTGGACGCATCTACTCTGTAGGATGCACAGGCTGGGACTGCTTGTCTTCTTGCCAGTTGCTAAAGGAGGGTGTTACATTAGAAACTGGAGCTGACCTCTGGGTTTGCTAGATGAACATCTACTGTCAATCCTTCCCCAAACCAGAAAGTACCATGAAAAGATCAACATGCTCAAAGAACCAAAACTAGTATAAATCCCAGTGGAAAGCGTGGACTATTCCCTACAACTAAAAGGAGGTAATGGGGGGGGAGGGGGCAGTACAGAAAAGGATGGGGGCTGGGTCTCAAAAGCCCACGCATATATGAAGCCACATTTGCGTGAACCCTGAAGAGTAGTAGTGCCTGTGCATTGAAAGGATTGGAAGGGCTTTTAGCTCCTGTTTTTATGTTCACGGTTTGTGTTTCCCGTTGGATTTCAGGACTGCAATAGGCAAGGGGATGATTTGAAAACGAAAGCTCACTGCAGACAGCTACAGGCTGTGAGCCTACCTGTGTCCATCTCGTCCATGTTGCTGAGGAAGTCTTCTGGGGTTGTGGGGACACTGTAGCACCCCAAACCCAGGCCGCTGTCCGTGCTCTGCTCCCTTGAATGATAGGGCCCTCTACAGAGGAAAAATAAATAAATAAAAGTGGAGACCTTAACGTGAGCCCACTAAACAAAGATCACAGTAAAAACACAGCCTCAGGACTTAGTCAGGGAAAGGGAGAAAATCCTACAGGGCCCTTTAGTTTTCAAAGGTACAACCTGATCTTAAGGAACTAAGGAATTACATGCAGATAAAACAGGCCACTCCCCACGCATGGGTACTGACTTCCTTGTCTCAAAATAACCATTTGAACCCTAGTCTATGTACAGATTATGGTACATGATATACTACTTAGGAGAAATTGTAAAAACCAGAAAAAAATAGCGCTGAATAATGCTCACAGATATACACGTTAATGGTAAAAGGAGTATTATGTAGCCAGACATGGTGGGCCATGCCAAAACCCCGACACTCAAGAGGCCGGGGGAAAAGGGATCCAGAAAGACAGCAAAGTTGGCTGTGATGACCACACACCACTTTCTGATGAGAAAGAATGGCGAGAAGAGAGAAACTTAGTGGTGTAGGGATGGGCTCAAACAGTGCTTGAGATATAGCAAGCCTGGAGGGGGGCTACCTCAGTCTTCTTTATGTTTTTCTGTTCTTTAAAATAAACCGCTTTTTAAAAACCTATCCATTCATCATTTTGACTACTTGTTTTTTTTCACCTCTGTCTTCATTTGTATTTGCATACCAGGAGCCTTGGTAAGAGCAGAAAAGAGCAAAACATAAAGCCCACCCCATGAAGTCTACAATTAAGGCTGACTTTCTATTTTTCAGATACTTCTGGCTAAGTCAATCACTTTTCTTTCTCTCTCTCTTAAACACAACATCTCTGTTTTAATTAATTTTTAATTATGCAATAACCTAAAACTCACACCAAACATGCAAAAAGAAAGTAGTTTTTAAATGTACCTTCCACCTGGCTCCCTTGTAGAAACAATTTTCATCATCATAGCAGAAAACTAACACTAGTAACTAAACTCCAAACCTTATTCGCCTTTCGCCATAAATACTTCTGACTTTTCTTGTTCTATTTGCTATGGCATGCTTTTAAACCCCGCCCCCTACAAGTGATTACCAAATAGCACTGTCCTGTTGAAAGTTCATCCTCATGTGCAAATCACTGAGAGGCATACTCCATGTCATGTGACTAGGTTTTGAAATTGAGATGGCTTTTAAAAAACTTCCTTTTCTCTCTTCTGTCAGCTCTCCCTACTCTCCCCACCCCTCAAGAACCCTGCCTTTTCTCCATGTAAACAAACACTCCATAGGTCAGAAAGCAGAAGCCAATGGCCCCCAGTGTGAACTTACCCATTGAGGAATGGATCTGAACTATTATTGGTGATGGACCTCATATCCGTGGTCATGGCAGGCGGGTTGACAGAGGCCATGGTCTCTTCCATGGGGAGCTGTCGGCAGAGGGCAGCTTCCTATACAGGAGTCAGGGGGAAAGGGAGTCATTCAGTTGCCTCAAAGGGTTGCTCAGCAAACATAAAACACTTTGTACCTATTCCAGTCGGTCAAAGTCATCAGCAGATTAGCATTCTTTCTCCACAGTCTTCAAGACACGGCACTCTCTTCCATGCCCAGCTAACCGAACCCAAGGGAAAATTGAGCCTCTGGATGCTTTAAAAACGCCACCTGCTGGCAGGACTGTTAAGACACCCAAGTTGTATCATGGCCTCTCCAAACACTTAACCCACCGACAAGTTAGTTCTATTCTAGGGTCTCGGACTAAATCTAAAGCAATCAAAGCAACTGGACCCCTATGGACTATCAGGTAGGAGCATGTACATGGACTAGCATACTAGTTTCTCTCGCTTCCATGTCAGTGAGAATGGGAGGCTCAGAGCTCAGACGCCACGTGAAGTTACACTTAGTGGTTGGTGGTAATCAACAGATGAATCAACAGCCAGCTAAAAGTTTGCTTTAAGAAACATCAGAGGGCATGAGGTGGCTCAGAGGTTAAGAGCACTGACTGCTCTCAGAGATCCTGAGTTCAATTCCCAGCAACCACATATTGGCTCACAACCATCTATAATAAGATCTGGTGCCCTCTAATGGCCTGCAGGTGCACATGCAGGAGGATAATAGATGTGCGATAATAGATGTGAGAGAGACAGAGAGAGAGAGACAGAGAGAGACACACAGACAGAGAGACAGACAGAGAAAGACAGAGAGAACAGGTCACAAGGTTGGCATAGTCATTTACCACCAAGCCTGATAACCCAAATTCTATTCTAGGATTCACACAGTGGAAGAACCAACTTCCACAAGTTTTTTCTCTGACTTCTATACAAATGTCCATCATGGATGCACATGTACGGACAATAAATAAATATCGCATCAGAGCTGGTGAGATGGCCCAGTGGTTAAAGGTGCTCACTGCCTAAGCCTAGCAACTTGATGAAACCTCCAGGTTCACATAAGGGTATATATGGAAAACTGGCTTCCCAAAATGGTCTCCCACCCTCTACATACAAGCCTTGGCATTAGCATGCCTGCATTTTTGTACAGACATCATACACATGCACATATGCATACAGTAATAATAATAATAGTAATATTAATAATGTTGAGTTGGCTAAAATGACTGCAAGTTGGGAAAACTAAATCCCATAAGCAACTGGATGTTGGATGGGTTATGGGTTTTATTTTGTTAAAGCAGCATGAATACCAAAAAGAACCAGTCCAAAATGTCATGAACTTGACTACAGTGACGCACTCCAGATGGAAATGACCAGGCATCAGACCCCTTTCAAGATGGTGGCTATCTCCAGAGAAGAATACTATCATAAGTCCCTGCTTACATCCAAAACTAAGGTGGGATCTTGCCCATATTTATGCCTATTAGTTTTTCAGTGTCCAAACTGAAATCCTTAAAACGATGGCTACAGTGAAAAACAGAACATTCCAGCTTTCTGAGCTCTCTTTTATCACTTCCTATGATGGTTCAGAATGCTGTTGTCTGGGTGGTGAAGCTGGGAAACATACAGTTACTATGTTTGCTACATTGGAAACATTCAGTTACTATGTTTGCTACATTGGAAACATTCAGTTACTATGTTTGCTACATTGGAAACATTCAGTTACTATGTTTGCTACATCGGTTCTACTGCTTAAGGTGACACGACTCTTACAAACCACACTAGGGAAAGAAAGAGAAAAAAGGAAACTGCACAGAGCCAGTCATGGTGATGCACACCTTCAATCCCAGCACTAGGGAGGCAGAGAGATGGACCTCTGTGAATCTGAGACCAGTCTGGTCTACAAAGTGAGCTCCAGGACAGCCAAACAGAGAAAAGAAACTGCCCTGTTAATATGAGTAGAAATAAAATAACCAGACAAGAAAAGGACCTATGGTTCACTTCTCTTTATCTTAAGGCAAATAATTAGAATCCTTAACTAATACATTTCATTCAATAATACACACACACACACACACAAAGAAATATTTTTTTAAATGGAGTTTTGGAAGTATCTTCTACAATGATCTAGGAAAAACAAGTTATTTTCTTATAGTTGTTAGGACATGCCCTAGAAACTTTATTATATGACAAAACTTTCCTGAAAGTCTCATGTAGAAAACAAGGCTTGAACCCGGGATGAGGAGACTTGAGCCCACCACAAACTGTCACGTGCACTCATGTTCCCTGAACCTCAGCATGAAAGCAACTGGTCAACAATTCACATTCTAACCCTTCAGCTTCTATCTCCGCTCTCCAACGCTATCTGCTTAACTAGGACTTCACTCTTCAACTATTCAGAATAAATATTTTTAAAAACTCCTTTTTGCTTTTTGTCATTTTTGCTCATCTAAATCCCCTCCCCTTTCTTTTCTGAGTCACAGTCTTGATACGTAGCCTAGGCTGGCCCTGAACTAGTGACTCTTCTGCCTTAGCCTCTAGAGAGCTGGGGTCACAGATGCACCACTATGTCCAGCAATTAAGACCCTTTAGTAAACACAAAAGGTTAGGGGAGGGGCTGAGGACATGGCTAAAAGGCACTTGTTACACAGACACAGAGACCTGCGTCCAGATTCCTAGTGCCTAGGCAGAGCTAAATGGTGCACACCTGTACCACAAGACCTGGGGGAGGAGGGGACACAGACACAAACAGGTGGATCCCTGGGCAGAACCAGTCAGTCCAGGTTCAGCGAGAGACCCTGTCTCAAAAACCAAGGCAGAGAGCAACTGAGGAAGACACTAGGTATCAAACTCTGCCCCCCTCACACACATGCACACATGGACACGTCAGCCTGCACACACATGGACATGACAGCCTACATACATACAGGTTTACACAGCAACTGCACTTCTTACTGTTTCATAAAATTTTCATCTCTATGTAATTTAACTACCCATAGCCTATTTCAAATAGATATAACGTGAACACTTGCTTGTGGTAGAGCAAGTAAATAACATTTAAAAACACTTGGTAACATGTGTCATGAAAGGAGGGGCAGGGCAGCTCAGTGGGTATAAGACCTTGCCATGAAACCTTTGAACCCGCACTTAAACAAGCAAGCGGTGCACACGGGAGACAGAGGCAGGAGAATTGTCTGGAATACACAGCACTGCAGAGATGTTGAGAAACTTGACCTTGAGGAAGTGAAGAGAATCACTGCCCCCGCCCCGCCCCCGCCCCGCCCCTGCCCCGCCCCGCCCCCGCCCCGCCCCTGCCCCCGCCCTGCCCCCGCCCCGCCCCCGCCCCGCCCCCAACAGCTCCCTCCACATGTGCACCATGGCACCCACCAGTGTGCTCGCACACGCACAAAATAAATACATAGAGTAAAGACAATCTTAAAATTGGGAAAGGAGAGTAGTTGGAGAGAAGGGAGACAGTCAAGAGGGGAAGGAGAAAGACACTGGAGGGTAGCAAGGGGTAAATAAGAAGAAAAGCACAATATTTATATATGAAAATGTCACAATGAAATCTGCTTCTTTGGGAAAACATTAAAGACTATATCAGAGGGGACAAAGTACTGTAGTATACTGGGGGGGATGATTACCGTGTGGTTTCTCATCTATTCTCTGTATTTTAAATCCAGGAGAAATGCTATTCCATTCTTCATCATCGGTCCTAACTAATCTGTATCAATCTCCAAGCCACGGAAAGAGGAAATGCTACATTCTGTCGGTAGGGGGCTCACGGGATCACGTTTCCACCTCCTTCAAATGACTAACAAAATGCAAGAGACCACAAGGAGTGTTTTAGCCCTAATGATTACTTTAAAAAATACATCTATTAACAATGTAATAACCTGTTTGAGATTACGGTAGGAACATTCTTGGGCTACAGATCATTCCAAAGGGCAGCTAAATCCAAGGCACACCTCTGCTTCCTACAGTGGAGGCCCATCTTCATGGCTGCAGCCCAGGGACTGACCCACCACTCACCCCTGGCTCTGACGACTCTCCTGACCTAGCATGGGCCTCTGCTGCTGCTCCCACCTGCTCAATCCGTACAACCGTTCCCTGTGTCTGGAACATGATCCCGAGACTGTCCCCCAAAGCCCATTTCCTTCACTCACTAACCTGCAAATGCCACTTCTCAGAGACATTCCCCCTGCCACTCTCTGAAGGAGCACCCCAACCCCATCACTGCCTATCTCCATTCACCATTCATTCATTCATTCATTCATGTATGCACTGGTGTTTTGCCTGCATGTATGTCTGTGTGAGGTGTCAGATCTTGGCGTTACAGACAGGTGTGAGCTGCCATGTGGGTGCTGGGAACTGAACTCAGGTCCTCTGGAAGAGCAGTCGGTGCTCTTAACTGCTGAGCCACCTCTCCAGCCCCACTGTCTCTTAACCTGCATCTGTTTTCTTCACAGTAGCTTAGTAATGGAATGGTAAGTCCCACAAGGGAACTTCACTCACTACGTTCATGCCTATATCCCCACTGCCTGTAACCATGCTAACTACGTAGTAGATACTCGAAAAATGTATACAATAAGCAAATGAGAAATAGTAATATTCAAATAGAAATACTTTAAATTATGCTAGCAGTGAAAAAAGTAAGTTTAAAAATCACACCTTTAACCACAAATCTGTCTACACACATCTTAGCTAGCCAGGCACACACTCCCATTGGCTAACACAGAACGAACAGTGCTAAGTGGCCAGTTGCTGAAACAGTGACACCAAATACTAGGAACTGAATCTTGGCTCCACTGCCTCCCCGTTGAGCTATTTCACAATTTTGTGATTTGCCATCTCACAGTGGGGATAATAAAATCTCGTGTGGCCTGGAGGTGGTGGCACATGCCTTTCTTTAGTCCCAGCATTCGGGAGGCAGAGGCAGAGGCAGGTGGATCTCTGTGAGTCTGAGGACATCCTGGTCTACAACACAAGTTCCAGGACAGCCGGGACCGTTACACAGAGAAACTCTGTCTCAAAAAACCAAAGTAGGTAAGTAGGTAGGGAGG